GTAAAACAGTACTCTTCAACAAGATAACAGAAAATAGGCTTCCTGAGGTCCTTTCGCTTCGTTTCAATGCTTCTAATGGTGCTAATAGGTAGTGTAATGGTATAGGTATGACCGATTGGTTGTGTTTGTTGCTATTAGTGTTGTTGTTGTTCTTGTAGTGACAGATCCAGAGGGGAAGCGCTTCGGTGTTCGGCTTCCCGTGGAAAAGTAGGAACGAGGAATGCCATGACAGATGATGTCATCGTCCCGGTTCAACTGTTGATTGGCACCGAAAGGTGGCAAATGTGGAAGTTTATCGGTGTTCATCCGAGAGAGGTTGTTAATGTAGGCACGAGTTGTCATCTCGCTAGGCTTGCGCATCTTACGACGCATGAAGCGTTTCTGTTTTTCGAGAGCCTTGTAAGGACAGGCTTGTTCGATCCGCGTTGATTCCAAAGGTGATGTCAGCATCGCTTAGAGCAGGTTCTGCTGCACCGTCCCATGCAGCTTGGACACGAGCCTGGAATTGGACTTCGGTTTCTCCAGAAGTCATGTCGCGTGGAGCAATTGCATTCACAGCAATTTGTCGAAAGGCGTTATGACGCACGGCACGACTGCCTGCACACCCAACTTCGTAGGCCCTCTTTGCAGAGCTGGAAGTCATCTCCTTGAGAAGACGATGTTTGTCGTCGGCACCAGCAAGGTTGAGTCCAACGAAGACCTTCTCCATATTCGTGGCCCACTTGATGGTCTCACGTGGAGTGTTGGAGCCATTGATGATGGCTACCTTGAAAGTGTACTTGGCCCTATTTGCGTCTGCAGGAATGGTGCAAAGTTTGTAGGTGGTTGCACGAGTGTCGTCGACCTCGTTGTCTTCGTCATTGTCGACGAGAGGAAGAATGGGTTTGTCACGCAACTGTTTCTCGAAGTTGCTAAACGCATGCTTTCCTTGAGCAATCTTCATGGTGAAGGAATAGGTTGAGGGTAGCTGAAAGCTATTGTGTTTGTTAACAAAATGCACTACGCTAAAAGCTAGTGTAAAGATCTTTCGAGTGTTTTGAGTTTGAGAGAACGAAAGTTATGAGAGAGATTAGAAAGCTACGAAAACTAATCCATGAGAGAGATCGTTGTGAAGCTCATTGAAGTTGGTCTCCCACGGGAGGCCTCGAAGTGTGATATCGTAGGTTATGGTAATAACTCTATGTACTCCACGGTCCATTTCCAGAACACGTGGAAACTTCAGCTAGTAGCTGTCTAGTAGCGTGGAAGCTTTCCACGCCGGCTAAATATCTAGAACGATGTTCCATCGACAACCTAGTATGACTAGCAGTCATGAGAACCCTGTCTCAATGACTATTCGCGAAGGACTACGTCATGAGTCGAACTCAAACCCTATCTAGGATCGAGTCGCGAATAAGGCTAAGCGCCGTGTATTGCAGTAAACTCCGGTGAGTGCTGTACGACTATATATTTAACTACTACGGCTAAATTGCCGTCTATTGGCTGCTATGATAATCCCTCGGCCGCGCATAGTTACCCTCGTGTTTGTGATTGTTGCTCTCTTACGTGCTCTTCGCGAAGAGCCTTGTCAACGACTTGCAGCCAGTTGGCTAACCATGCCTTGATAGCTATAGCCTGGCCCCTTGGCCATTTGTTCTTCTAGTGGTTGCTTGAAGATGACATCCAGCAGATGTTCTGGTAGGAGGTCTGCTTTCTCGTAGAGGAGCTCAACTTCCCATTGAAGCTGTTCCTGCTTCCGTTGCCATTACTGTTCCTTATCTCTGCCATGCCTGGCGGCATTGCGATCTTCCCAAAGGTTCCACCATTGTTGGATCAGAGTCGAGGCCAAGTTGATGACCCACAATTGTCCAGTCCTCATGGTCTCCTATGGAGAGACCCTGCGCAGGCAAGAGTCTTGGTGCTTGGCCCAGAATGTGGCCAATTGTCCTTGCAGGAAGTTGTTCCGGCCTATGAGGTTCTGGGCATCCACCAGGCAGGTCGGTACCGTTCCGGGTAGTGTCATGGATGGAGGAACCTGTTCTCAAAGTGATACTGTTGGCCATCGAGCACAATCTCCAAGAGGAATGGATCAGTGGCATCCTTTCATAGCTTGGTACTGATAGCTCGCTGCATTTGACCTCTCCAAACATCAACATCAACATGGGGGCATCGGTAGACATGTGTCTCTGTTTCATGATCACAGCCGCAATGTGGGCAGTGGTGGTCATTGTTGGGCGAACAACACAAAGACAACGTACTGCTAAAACAAGCAGCTTTCTAGTTGAGTTTATTGAAGAGAGTGAGTAGTTCTGCTGCTGATGACCCCGCACATAATAATAATAATATACAGAATAAGGGAATGGAATCATGAACTTCCAACAGTCATACTTTGGATCATCTCAATATCAGTGCAGCGAGTTCGCCAGTATTTCAAAAATTGCTGAATGACCCCAATTCACTAATATCACTGCAGCAGCCAGTTTGCCAGTATTTCAAAAATTGCTGAATGTGGCTGCTGAATACTATGGTCAATCTGAGCTTACCATCTCCACCTTTGCAAATGTTTTACCATGACCCCAATTCCCTGCTTGCCTGCAAGGCGGATCATGACCCCAATTCCCTGCTTGTCTGCATGGCGGAACATTTCAATTCCCCCAAGCTTTCAAGAGCCGTAGCAGATGACCTCGGCAGTGTTGGCTGGGTATCCCATTTCTGGAAAGCGGCTTGTCGGGGAGTCGACTCAATGGCATCAAGGTCTGCATCCCTGAAGTACCTAGTTTCCAGACAATAGCCCACGCTGGACAGAAAAATGCTGTGATAAATCATGTTAGCCTCCGGTCTGTTGGGTGGGGACCCCTTCAGGACCCTTGTGTAGTGGTCGCATTTCTTGATAAGGGCCACTTTCTGGGCAATGAGAAATCCGGATGGTCCCTTGAAGCATCCTAGTGACTTGTGGTCTTCGGAGTTGGCAACTGGCTTGATTGGTGTGATGATACCATCTGCCGACGTCACCTGGATTGCCGGAGTAAAGTTTGTCCCCGGCTGAAGCTCAGAAAACAAACAACAAGTATTGGAGATTATATTGAAGTAGTGTGGAAGCACGACTCCTCAAAACTTGTGTTTCTGAAACTCAGAAAACAATCAACAAGTAATTCGATCATAGCAGCAACTCCCAACCCAACCATCAGCAAGCAGAAGTGTGGAAGCACGACTCAAGTTCTGTTTCTGAAGCTCAGAAACAAACAACAAGTCATAGGGATGATAGTGGCAACTTTCACAATCTCTGCCAGCAAGAAGTAGTGTGGAAGCACGACTGATCAGAAAACAAACAACAAGTCATTGGGTTGATAATGGCAATTCCCGGCCCAATCACCAGCAAGAAGTAGTGTGGAAGCACGACTGAAACAACACATGCAAAGGTGTGTTTATAGAAGCAATTCCCTGCCCAACCACCAGGAAGAACTAGTGTGGAAGCACGACTGACTCCAGTTTCCACAGAACAAATCATTGGGATCATAGCCGCAATTCCCTGACCTTTTCCCAGCAAGAAGTAGTGTGGAAGCACGACTGAGTATTGCAGGTCATAGAAGTAATTCCCTGACCTTTTCCCAGCAAGAAGTAGTGTTGAAGCACGTCATTGCTCAAGTTTCCACAGAACAAGTAATTTAGATCATAGGAGCAATTCCCTGCCACTTCACTAGCAAGAAGTAGTGTGGAAGCACGACTGAGGTTCATGGCAGTATCACAAGACAGAACATCTTGTCTTGAGTTGGCAGCACCTTGTCTAAGAATGGGAACATAATGGCAAATCCATGACCTTCCATCAGCAAGAAGTAGTGTTGAAGCACGACTGATCAGAAAACAAACAACTAGTTATTGGGATCATAGCAGCAAATCCATGACCTTCCATCAGCAAGAAGTAGTGTGGAAAGTGGCAACTTTCACGATCTCTGCCAGCAAGAAGCAGTGTGGAAGCCAACTGATCAGAAAACAAACAACAAGTCATTGGGTTGATATTGGCAATTCCCTGCCCAACCAGCAGTAGGAAGTAGTGTGGAAGCACGACTGATTGCTCAGCAAGTATTACAGATGATAGCAGCAATTTCCTGACCTTTTCCCAGCAAGAAGTAGTGTGGAAGCACGTCTCCAATCATTACCCAGCTTGCAATAATGAGGATGATAGCAACAAGTCATTGGGATCATAGCAGCAAATCCATGACCTTCCATCAGCAAGAACTAGTGTGGAAGCACGACTGACTCCAGTTTCCACAGAACAAGTCATTGGGATCATAGCAGCAATTCCCTAACCTTTTCCCAGCAAGAAGTAGTGTGGAAGCACGACTGAAGGCCGCAATAGCTCAGTTGGTTAGAGCACTTCATTAGTAATGAAGAGGTCCGTGGTTCGAACCCGCGTTGTGGCTCATCAAATCTTTTAGTTATTCTTGATGTGGTATCGGTATCATTTATTTGCTGTGCGTGGCGGAGACCAAAGAAAGGGGTTTGCTCCATTCGTCCGTCCTTACTTTTTCTAAATTTTAGATTGGTTGGTCAGGAACGATTGGATTCATTCATTGTATGAAGGAGGTTGCAGGTTCGAACCCGACCACAAGATAGACTTTTGCGTTGCCAGTGTAGGATCAGCCAGCCATGCATGCAGTCTGCACCCAGCTACCGTATGGACAACCCTTGCGATTACGGTGGACCGAGATTCACTTGACGCGAGACTTTCTACCTTGATTTGATAGGATGATACGGTAGTTACCCAGCTGTGGGACATGCAATGTTCCTCGTATCCTTGCCAGACTGGCTACCGGTATCCGTACCGTCGCTGGGCTCCGTCGAGATCGCCGCGTTGCTTTTCCACTTTCGCTGTTGTTGAGTCGAGTCCCGATCGGATGCAACGAATCTTTTGGGAGCCGGCACCTCCTCCGTTATCTTCGCGCCATTCGTAAGCCGAATTTCTCGCATTTCAAGCTTTACAGAGCAACTGTTTGGAAGCTGTCACAAAATCCAAGGACGATCGAGCAGCAAAAGATAGAAAAAACAGGGTTGGTCTTGTCACTTGTCACAATTAAATAAGCAACCGATCAACAAACTAACTAATAACTCCAGAAGGACTGCGACAATCGACGAGTGCAACCACTAGCTAGTAGCTCCTCCGACATCAATCGTCATCTTCCTTTATTCTCTCTCCAACTCTCGTCAGTCAAGATGAGTAGTGATCATTTTTCTTGGATTGGTGGTCGCTTGGCATTTCTGTTGGTGTCCTTTTCGGTTGGATCCGTGGGCGATGGGTTGAATATTTTCCAAGGCATTTACTTGGTGGGTTTGGGTTGGAACGAAGGCTCGGTTGGAGTAGCGTTGAGTCTCATGGGCCTGACGGCATTGATAGTGCAGCCCTTTGCTGGCAACTTGGTGGATGTGACGCCCGTCGATCGACGTCTCTTTCTAGGGACCGCCGCACTCATGACGGCATTTTCGGCATCGGCCATTCTCTTTGTCCACGAGGGCAACACGGATCATGTCTTGATTTACGCCACCAAAATTGTGGAGGGTGTGGCATCGTCCTTTATTGCGCCCTGTTTGGCTGCTCTGACGTTGGCCACCTTTGGACCGGATCATTTTGATGCCGTCATGGCCTCCAATATTCTATGGGGACACGTCGGAACGTCCATTGCGGCGGTACTGGCTGGTATTGTCGCCTATTCGCTCTATCCCGACATTCAATTCTGTTTTCTTGTCATTGGAGCCAGTGCCCTGCTGGCTGTATTCTTTACGCAGTTCTTGCCGCAAGGAGATCAACTCATGGGACGCGGTTTCGCAGGCACAGTCGCCATGGATGAACAGGGACACATGGAACGCATTCACCAAAACAACCAGCAAGCCGTGGACTCTACCACCACCAAAAACACACCACCCGAGGCAGCCTCTTACTGGGACGTCTTTTTCGACAAAAAGACATTGGTTGTTTGCTTGACTGGATTCTTCTTTCAGTGAGTACCACCAAGCATGGCTAGTCAGTCAATACACACAATCCACTTGTTGCCATCCTCACCCCTTTTCTGGATGATTCATCATCTTTTTATTGTGCACGTGTATTATAGTTTCGCCAATGCCAATGTCCTGCTCGTCTTGGGGGAACTCATGAGTGGCGACGACGACGGTGGCGTACGACAATCGGCCATTCCACTCACGGCGGGAGCCATTGTATTGGCGCAACTCACCATGGCCATTACCACGTGGGCGGGAGATCGTCTCACAGTGCGGGGAACGGGACGCAAACCACTCTTTCTGGCGGGTCTACTCACGTTGCCCTTTCGATGCGCGCTCATTATTTGGTGGAAGGATGCCGGCGATGCCTTTTTGCTCTCGACACAAGTATTGGATGGTATTGGAGGAGGACTCTTTGGACTCATTCATCCCTTTCTCGTGGCGGATATTACATTTGGGACGGGAAGATTCAATGTATTGAGTGAGTAATCTATGTATTGTGTGAATTGGATTGATGCTTGTCTCTTTCTGAACTGGCTGTGTCGGGCATCTATGCAAGTCTGATATAATCTTTCTCACACGGTATTCCATTTTGCTCTTTCCTTCCTCATTTTCACGCAGTGGGTCTCACGGCGTCTTCCTTTGGTTTGGGGGCAACCATGTCCAACTTGATTGGTCAACTCTTGGTCGAAAAGTTTGGGCATGTCACCAGTTTGACCTGTTCCATGTGGCTCTCCGTAGTGCCAATATTGCTCTTTGGAGGACTCATGCCAGAAACTTTGGGGCAGCGAGGGTTGGGAGCCAGTAGTCGTAGCGGCAGCAATCTAGAAGCAGCGGTCGATGAGACAGGAGCCTACAAGGCGATTGTCTAACTCGCTCCGTGCCGGCAATCCACAACCACAAACGGGATTCTGTATGCCTCTCTCTACTATACTATAGAGTTTTATACTGTATCATAACTATAGCTAGACCTTTCCTCAGTCTACGGTATCTTGTGCATGCATTCGTGGGGCTTTGGATAGTCCCAAAGCACTGCTACGTTCCGGGCGAGTTTCCGGTACGCATACGTACGGCACTGCAATTCAAACGACACAGCCATCTGCTTCATGAACGTATCAAAGTCATGGAATCGATAGCGTTGAGGAGCCGGAGAGGAACTCACCTCCTAGCCCTTGCCTCCTTCCTTGCGATGGAAGGGGCTCCCTGGCATTGAATCACTCGCGTGTACTTCGTGCTTTCCTGATTGCCCATAACCTGGAGCGGATCTTTGTTCCGGTAGGAGGCACAGTCCAAATCAGTGAGACGTACATCAATAATAGCAGTAGCAACTCATTCGAACAAGCCTTCAAAGAACAGAGCCACATCACTTGAGGACTGGTGGGGGGTTTATAGGGGGGTAGGCATCGGTACTGGTAGTGGGGGGCGGCTCTGGCATTACACTGCGCCGTAGGCATTCCCTTGAAAACCTCAAATCATTTGAAGGTATCTTCTCAATTGCAGGTACCAGGTATCATAATATGTACAACACAACCATGTCCCTCGACAGTGTCAACGACAAAACCTTGACCAATATCTTTGCCTTTATTGGCAATGTCCCTGACTTCTGCCGCAGCGCTGCCTCCTGTCGCCGTCTCCGGAACTTTCTGAAGGACGACGCGGTGTGGAAACTATGCCCTATCGACGATTGCGACGATTGGGATGACGATTGGGACGATTGGGACGCGTATCAGCAGACGAATCGTAGCCAAGCCTTCTCAGCACACATCCTTACAAGTGTCAGGCAGCACAAGGAAGGGCATCATTTTGAGACAAACAACGTTGCAAACAACTTTGGATACATCGAATTTGATGGTGAGAAGTCCTACATCCTGAAAGTCTTTGGTCTAGAAACCTGGGGTGCCTTGGTAGCCAAGATTGTATGCAAGGAAGGACTAACGTGCACACGACGCGACACGCTGATCGCCGTCGCTCGTGTTGTGGAATACAACATGATTCAACTACTGAGAGCTGCGATCATGATCATGCTTCTTCAATCCGAAAACTTGGAGGCACCTGAACCCTTTCGAGCCTCAGACCTTGATAAGGCTTTTCGTGTTGGGCTGCCATTTGAACAATTCCTGCATTACTGGCTTTATGAAGACCCGACGCATGCTTCGGATAGGGACACTGACAAGGGGACGGAGCGGCGCCTTGTCATCCATTTGATGCGCGCGGCAGGATTTAGTTTTGAAATAGAGGATCCTGATTCGGTGGCGGCCAAGATTTGTGATCGTCTCTTTGGCCTCACCGAATGGTTGCTAGATACAGCATTCAAATACGAAGGAACTGCGGCTATCAGTCCTAGGGACATCAACCGTGCTGCCTCACGCCTGCAACTTCCATTCCCTGGGGTGTACTTGAGCGCTGAAGACGCTTCTGAAAATGATTCCCATCACGGAAATGACGAACGCTAGTTCGAAAGAAATGAGTATAACGTCTGAGGAAGAAGAAACTGGCCCAAATAGCTTCGAGCTAAGCAATGGTTACTGTAAAACTCAAACTAGTAGCGAGTTATGCGAGCTGCCACTGCGTTAGCCTCTGCTCTGCACAGGCTACCTATAAGATTCCAGGCAGACCGTTGCACTTGAAGCACTGTCCGATTCGAGTAGACTAATGCTAGGGCAGATGCGCAACTTTTTTTCACGCCGGGGCGGTGGTCGTGGTCTTTCCGAAGTTGAGTTGTTGTCGTTGTTGTCATCTTTTGTGTACAGTGCAGTCATCGTGGCAAGATCGACGGTCCACGAGCACGCTGTTCACGTATTGTAGCGCGGAAGCACGCACATATCTCGATGGTGCGAGTCGAGTCGAGTTCAACTATGCCCTCCTTTGTCGTTTCCTTTCCTTCTTGTTGATCGCTGAGGAGGATGGTAGCTGTTGTTGTTTTGGTGGTTGTTGTTTATATTCGGCTGGCAGATAGGACTGAATCAGTTCGATCCACCATGATGCCGTCAACTTGGTCCAATCGTAATCAGTTCGCTGAATGAGTTTGGTGTATTGTACGTCCAACCATTCCGGTGTCAGGTCGTGATAGGAATCAATCAATGCCACGGGCAAATGATCAAAACTCTTGAAATATCCATCCGTATGGGTTCGATTCCACGTTTCAATGACGGGAATGCATCCACTCAACAAGGCTTCCCAATGCCGATAACAATCAATGCCCGTCCCGGACGGTGACATGATGAATTTGGCGGCTTGCATTTCGTCCAAATAGCCAGTGAGACCTCCGCGGGTGGTGTACGTATTCTTGAGTGGAATACCAGAAGCATTGAATTTCTCGAGTACGGCATCCATGACGGCGGCACGCATTTTGCGTTTTTTGGAATTCATCATGAGCAGTTGGGTGCGTCCCTTGTACTTGTTCTTTTGTAGTTTCTGTCGTTTCTCCCGAACACGATTGAGAATTTGTCGTGCTTGTGTGCCGTAGCGCATGCCCAATGGCACGGAATGAATTTTGGCATGATTCCAAATCTGATATTGACACGTGAAAATGGCCAAGGTCTCGGGATGATTGATATATTCCAGAATCATGCGTTCATTGCATTTTTGTTTCTTCCATTCCTCATGCAAGTTTTTGGTATCCCCGGTCCGTCCCGGAATGGCCGAGGAAAAGGCTCCGTAATCTTCGTGCATGGCGACCAAGAGGACATGGGGCCATGTATCACCTGGTGCCCGTTTACTGCGATAAGATGCAAAATAGCGAGCGGCACGACAAATGCCAGTATCGACCCGGACAATGGCATGACGCATGGTTCGTCGAGCGGGAATATCGGGATCCTTTTCTTTGGGGAATTTGAAATACGAGAGACGTTCCCAGAATCCCCAAAATCGGCCAAGAGGATGCGTTCGATCGCGGGTATTCCAGACCATCATATTACTAAAGTCTTGTCGTCCAATGACGGACACGTAGTTTTGATAAAAGGCAATCTCGGCATCGGTAGTATTCTTGTTGTGGATTGGAATAATGGTGGTAGTGTCAGTTTTGGAAGATTCCAGCTGGGTGTCTTGACCTTCTCCTTCTGCTTTTTCTGCTGGTTGTTCTACATGTAGAGTTTTTGAATCTGAATCTGGCTGATATTCTTTCGTTTGTATTTGTATGGTTTCATCAGGAGTAACATGATCATCATCGTTTTGATTGTTCGTCTTTGTATTGGCATTGACATTGTCAGGGGTAGCATTTTCTTCATTATCTTCCTGAGCATTATCTTGTTCGGTATCTTTGTCTTCTTCTTGATCTTGATTATCTTTCTCATCTTGCTGCTCTTGTGCTTTTAATGCCAGTTGCACTTCTCTCCGTTCTTCTTGAGTTTCTTCTTTGTGTAGATTGTGTTCCTCTTTGGCAATGACGCCACTGTCCATGGCCACCACAATGTCTTGCTCTTCATATTCTTTGGAAGGAGGAGGATACAGAGTTGGGTTCGGCTCGTCTCTATCTATAGTAGTAGCAGTATCTGTGTAGACATCGACATGTTCCACAATAATGTTGGTATTGGATTGATTCACACTGATAAAGGACTTCAAGTTGGATCCCAGCACAAACAGCGTGGGAATCAGCAACAGCAACAGCTTTTCTCGTCTCGTTAAACTGCTGCTGCCACTACCACTCATACCGGTAGAAAAGGGAGAAGATGCCGTCATGGTACTACTCTACTAGAAACTTTTAATGACAAAACCCAACCCAATCAATGCCATGGAAGAGGGGGGTATCTTAGAAGTGTGTTGGCTGCGTTGTGGTTGTGTCCACCGGAACATCCATGGTCCGCGTAAGGGTCATTCGTGCTTCTTGTGTTGCCTCCAACCCTATCATCTGCTTCCAAAGATACAGATCTCCTAAACTCTTGTCATCCAGCTTTGCGACGAGGCTCTCCCGGATCTTACTCTAGCTAGCTATAGTATCGTTGTATTGTCCCTTTCCTATCTTCAGCACATACACCATTAGAATGAAAGCCGCCCTCTTGGTGGTGGACATGAGCCAGGAACAAGTGGCGTCCTTGTCGTCATCTCAAACCAAACGCTGATTGTGGCTGCCATCCAACAGCTGGCATCGTGCCCCCAATGGGCGCTCCGATTGGATTCTCGATTATGGCTGACAAGTCCTCATGAATCCACACTCTCACGCGTCTATCCTGAATGGGGCGACACCGTGGGAGTGCCGGGATCTCAGGGGGCGGCGCTCCTTTCTCAACTTACTGGCAAAGGCTGGCAATTTGTTCCCAAGAAACACTATTCCAGTTTTGTCGACAGTCCCTTGATGGACCTACAGTATTGAACCATGCACGCCAACATTACCCATGTCTACATTGTAGGGATCAATACGGACTACTGCATTTTCAACACAGTACTGCCATGGATTCCTTTGCCAGAGGCAAGTTTCACACCTTTGTCGTAGAACAGGGTGTGGCAAGTATTACGGGCAGTCAAGGACATGCCCAAGGATTGGCATGGATACGAGCGCATTTGGGATATTCCAGTGTAGTGTCCACGGAACACGTATTGCAGCAGTTGTCCAACTCGAATGGCTAGTTTGCCTGCTAGTAGTAGACCATACGCTAACTCACTTGCACGGAGCCGTCGTGGAGACAGCCAACTGGCAATGGTCATTATAGCAAGCTTCCTGCAGCGAAGAAATGAATCGAATCAACAAGATTAGCACGGATCAAGACCTCATTATATGTATCACAGATTCCTGTAAGAGAATCAATCACAGTTTCCTCCTTCATTGGAAACGTTTCCTTTGGTTGGGTGCAGTGTACTGGTTACGATGGGTGCAGTGCATTGGTATGTCTACAGTACGTTGCGTGAGTGTAGGGAGCTAAGAACTTGCCTCTTTGTACGGAACTAAATTGTGGGGAAGAAGTCCAAGTGATATGCCTGCTATTGCTTAACATTCCAGCAAAGGAGCAGCTAGCCTTAGCGGGTGCCTACATGGATAACAACTGCAGGGATGGCATGCATAGAAAGCTAGCTTGTTCACAATTGACCAAGATCCCGTCGCGCCTCTTTCCATCGATCCCTTGGTGGTGTTGATGGCAGTTTTAGAAAGCACTGGTCCTAATCATTCAATTCATGGCTGCTAGCGATCCGGTCTCTAATATCTAACCTGCTAGGTCAGCAGCAGACAGAGACCTTCACGAACACTTGAAGACCGAAGGCACCCTTTCGAGGTGGTGGTGGCACCGGGGGCACCTTTGGCGATTTCGCTAAATTTACCCCATCCTTAGAACAGCTCCTGAAACAATCCAGTGGTTGCGCGGTGAGCAGACGGTACGATGTACCATTACATTTCGCCTCCTGTAGCAGTAAACGGGGGTTTGGAGGTAGATTATCTACCGGCACGGAAGCCAAGGTTACCATTCGCATCTCGAAACCACATCCACCACGCGATAAAACAACTTTCGGGGAGCATGGCACCACAATCAAAGGCATACTATCAATGGGCCCCACCTCAATGACAAACAGTAGTGACCAAGAGGTCAACATGATCAGCCGGAAGCGATGTCGTGTTCGGTTTGACCCCTCTCGAACCACGGCTACCGGTGCTGAACTCACCCAACAGCAAAAGCCAAAGAAAGTTGTCCGATTCACCCTTGAACCAGCTCATGTGACCGTCTGGAACTCTTCTTCTTCTGAAACTTGGTACAGCGGTCACGATTACACAAACTTCAAGCTCAACATGAAACGCGATGTTCTATACTTGGCTCATCTCTGTCAGACTGGCAACCGCCAGAACATGGACCACGAAGAATTCAGCTCGTTAGGCCTGGAACAGTACTGCTGCTCCAATGCCACTAAACAACAGACCAAAATGATGGCGAATCGACGGATCCAATCCGTATTGGACCAACAAAACTTGCAACGCCGTCTGGGGTGTAATGAGCCAGAAACCATTCAGTTCTTTGCTCAACTCATGTCCCAACTAGCTGTTGAGAAAGCACTAAGACGAGCTGCCCGTGTTGCCGCTGGCAAATACCCTTAAACCAACTTTCTTTCTATTCCGTCCTCCGCAGCCTTTTAAATAGATAGCCTCAGCAACACAGAAGCAATGTATTGCTCAATCGATCGAACTGGTGCTATCATACTGCAGCGGTCCCCGTCTGACTGCTTCGAGGGCGGCACGCACTCAGGACACGTGTCGACAAGTACCTCACTTTCTGGGTTCACAAACAGGATGGATCGACAAGAACGACGTCGGCTTTGTGCGGGTGTGAAACGTAATTATTGGTCTACCTTGCGCTGCTTGGACGAATCCATCCTTTTCTAGACCAGATGCTAGATGTGTGGGTAGTTGTGTTTGAGTAGCTAAGAGAACGTGTGGAGTTGTTGGCAGGTTCGCGGTGTGGAAAGAAGGAACAGGTGAGGAGGTAACATCATCTTGAATATTGGTAGGTAGAGCAAGGGAAATGCATCGACAAGCAACCACTTCAAAGGTCTGGGTAGATTGTGAAAAGTAAAAGGCCAACGTCGAGAGTCCGGCGATGCATTTTGGTGACGAACCAGCCCAAGGAACAAAAGGGTCAGGGTCGGCAGTAGGGGAGTTAGGTGGGAGCTGGACCTTAGGATATTGAGTGAACCATGACTCGGCGCCTAAAGCTCTGGAGACGGATCCGACTCCGAAAAGGAAGCTCTGAAGGGCACCGAAGATGATGCTGGCTGGGTTCAGAGGAACCTTAATCTTGCAAGAGGACGAACCAACCCGCTGGAACCACCGCAAGATGACACCTTTGCAAGCGAATCGACGGGAGGTACTACCGGCAAGTCAACTCCACGAGTCCCACTAGGAGCGGCTGCAAGCAGCACCGGAAAGAGGTGTCATCGTCGTGCAATATTTGAAGAAGAAGTTGTGCTTGGACTCGTCGCTCGTAGCAGGGTTGATTGGTTCTACGTACGCCAAAGGGACGGGCGACTGGACTTGAATTGAAGACTTGGGCTTGCCGACTTGGACGAAGAAAGGGGTGATCGACTTGTGCTGCCTAAATGAAAAAGCAGAAGAAACAAGAAAGAGGTTAGACTTGAGCTGAGAACAAAATAAAAAGCAAGACGTATTGCATGCATGCATGCCACTTTGGTTCAGCGAAGTGGGGAACAACAGTCTTCTAGAGTGTCTGCCACCCCCCACTTCCAACGACGTTTATGTTGGCTCTCTCGAGCAAAGAACTACTAATGTCATGCAATGCATGCCGTTCGCTAGCGGACCGTACCTGTTTGTTGTTGATGAACCGACCGTTGCCTTGCACGAGGACGAACCACCATTGTCAACATGGATCAGACCTACGTTGGAACTAAAGAGATGAGGCTGCAACGATCGGTCGAGACCGTGAACAAGCAAACAAGCAAACAAGCAACGCCACAATGACAGAAGAACGACCGTTACCTTGACGAGTACGCTCCATCTCACTGAACCACCGCAAGAGACACCTTTCCCAGCGGACCAACGTTCAGCGATACCAATGAGGACAGCCCCGGAGAACTGACCCCGCCGGCTTCTCAAGGTTCAAAGAACTCCGAACTACTACGGTAAAACATCACTGAAAAAGGTGTATCGTCATGCATTGGAAGAAATTGTGGGTTGTGCGAGAAAAAGTTTGCTTGAGGCAAACGGCGTTTCAATTTCAGCAAACGATCGTTTCATTTTGGCAACTTCAAAACGGCAAGGTGTCAACATCAAAAATCAAAATGAGCTCGTCATGGAATTGCCGTTTTATTATTATTTCAAACTGGAAACGGCCGGCCGTCGGCAAAGGTACGAGTGGTGGTTGATTGTCGGAGGCTGCTTCCAAGCAAAACTGACTCCAGCGTTACAGTAGGAGCTCTCCCGTTGTAGATACCGGTATTGTAGCATATCAGAGTGTCATGTCGGCCTCGAGAGAAAACGAGGTGAGTGTCCCAAAGTGGAAGATGCGTCGAACGGAAGAAGAAAGAAGTCATCGAATGGAGGAACCTCGCGACCGCTGTTGACAGCCTATGGGTCGAAGCAAGAGGAGCCTGTCATGGTGGACTATTAGTACCGGTAGTAGCAGGAGTAGCCACTGTAAATAAAGAAGTGATAACATCATCTTGATAGAGGATCTGTTCGATCCAGAATCCGGAACAAACGGTGATGTCAGTTGAGCCTCTGTTACTAGTAGTACGGCACCAAACACTCCTCCTGAAAGGTCTCCTACCGTTTTTGCTGGCTTAAGGCTCATTGTCACATGTCGCATGTCACATGCACAGTGGAACGACACTGAACTGTACAGTAGGATTACTGCCAAACAATTGCAACGGAGAAGAGCATGGGGCGGGCCCGTCACACCTACTGGATGCCGGCTGCAAATAAATGGTTGCCGGCTACCGTACTGGCTGTTAAAATAAGGCTAGCCATTTTTACACAGGATGGATACGACTTCCGGGTGAGGCGGAGCCTCACCACCATGACGTGGCGGAGGGCCTCTTTTAGCCTAAAACGGATACCTTTCCAGAAAGGCCACTTTCAAAATGACTTTTACAGAGCGCGCCCCACCTTCCAACTCGACTCCACAACATCCATTTTTGATCGCTCCAAGCATGATTCTTTTGGAAGTGACCAAACGAGCGAATAAAAACATTTAATGGATTTTTAACCTTTAAGACTACTTTTTTCTAGGGGAACCTGCGGTCTCTAACTAACACTTCCGAATACTGCACTCACAATTTCTTCTTTTTCGATGCTTTTACTCTTCTCCGGTGGATCCGCCTGTTGTGCTCTTCCTACTGCCTTTCTTATTGCCCTTTGGTTTGGGGGCTTTGGGCTTAAAGGTTTCAGGTACCTTCTTGGATTCTTCGGACACCTCAATAAAGCACTTGTTAAGACGCTGAACGATCTGCTCCACTGGGACCTTTAAGAGCTTGGGGTTCTCCCGGTAATGGGCGTTAAGCATCGGTCTGAGGGTCTTCCAGGTGGTGTCTAAGCGGCTTTTTGTCCCTTTTGGTAGTGGCTTTTCTGCCGGTGGTTCTTTCTTCTTCGGTGGTGTTGGCTTTACCTTAATTGATGTCTTCTTGGAATGCTGAAGAAGCCAATTTTTCATAGACCCCTTCTTGCCGGCTAAGTCTTCTTCTTCTTGCTGGTCTGCCTCGTCTAATAGCGCTGTTGCAGCTGATTTTGCCGGTGCTGCTGCTTTGGTTGCCGCTGCATTCTGCCTCTGTTCTAGTTTGGCCCTGTAGGATGGCAACTCTTCGTACCAACAACCGTCTTGATGGGACTTCGACTTGTTCAGATGGAGGTTGGATGATAGGTACATGAGTGCCTCTCCCGGGTCAAACAGAGATTCACCTTCCTCTGCATACTGCCAGACTTGATAGACCTTGTCCTTCTTGGAGAGATCCCGGTTAAGCCTCTTCACTGGTGATGGAATGGTGTCGGCTCTTTTCTTCGGTGGCTGCTGGATTCGGCATCGTCCGAGCATGGGGAAGAATGAAGTTGGTCCTCTCTTCCCAGCGGTGGTCATCGGCTTGGGTGGAAAGGGTGAGAACAGAGAGTCGAAGTTGGTCGAAAGTTTAATTGGAACAGCAATTGTATGGTGTTGGCGGTCGGCCATTCTCTTGGTGGGAGTGGTGTTCGTACTGTCATTCAGAATGTTGTTCTGGTCCGTAAGATGTTTGGGTTGTGTTGAGCCGTGCCCATGTTCAAAGAATGTTTGACCAAATTGGTGGTAGTCCCTGGTATGGTGTACCCTATCAGTGCATTGGAAACAGCCGTCCTGGGTGAACAGATCGGCTGCATTCCTGTTGCAGTCGCACATGGACGCCGACATTTTGTTTTTGTGGCATCAGGGGCGTCAAAACCGTGGTAGTGGAGTTGGTGGTTTGTGTTCCTGGAGCCGGCTCGTGTTGCAGATCCGGCATTGCTGTAGGCACGGATTAAGTTTCAAATACCGGCTACTAGAGTTATCCTGTCTGTCATTGTCTTTGGTAGCAATGACAATGCTTTTTGTAATATTTGTTTAGACGTCGGCTTACTTGGTCTATGGTTTTAATTCGTTCTGGAGATTACATTACATCCACAGCTGCTCTGCCGGTTGGTTTTGCTTAGTGAGGTGACACAACTCGGCCCAACTGTCAACGGTAATGCCATGACTAAACGGGGATTCTTTTCCAAGGAGAACGTGGCTGAAAGAAAGAGTCGCAATGATGGTGTTGACCCGGCCAATGAGACGCCTGATTTGCGTGATCTTCCACCCTTGCGTGGAGGGTTGCGTCTACCTAGAAGTGTGAATTCGACAGCAATGGTACCGGTAGTTACTTGGTCGAGAGATGGAAAACCCCCCGCTGAAAAGGCAAGGTTCTTTTCACGAAACAAGCAGGTACGGTCACTTGAGGAGCTGTGTGAGGGGGGAAAACTACCGACTTATGCAGAGATCAGCGAGTTGATTGGAGATGAGAACAAAGCAATCCAGTACATGGCCGACCTTGGAATTATCCGTGTGCCGGACGTTTGCGGAAGGTGTGGTGTAAGTGTAAAATGGAAAGCTGGCCAGAACACCGTTCGTTGTAGGAAACAATGCTGCGAGTTTAATTGTCCTGGAAACTGTGAACGGTGTGGAGTGGCGATGGAGGCCACCAAGGATGCCGACAAGGAAGTTGTCCATGCATACTGCTCTGACAGTAACTGTAACTGGAAATGGAAACCAGGAAAGTGTTGGGAAGTGTCCGTCTACAGGGGAAGCATCCTACAGAACTGCCGACTGCCTAAACAGGAGGTGCTACATTGCTTCTACCTATTCCTATTGCAGGTACCGGTCGTTACAGCCTCAAAGATGCTAGGTTGGACAGTTGAGGTGACGGGAAAGTGGTTCCGGCACTGCAGGCAACTGATTACAGAGATGGTTCTGATGGAAGAACGCGACAAGGTCATGCTAGGTGGGGAAGGAGTTATTGTGGAAATTGATGAATCCAAATTCGGCAAAAGAAAATACAACAAAGGACGTCGCGTAACAGCTGATTGGGTTCTAGGAATGGTGGAGCGAACCAACCAACGAAAGCTAGCAATGGTGGTGGTGCCCAACAGGAAGGCAAAGGTACTCATCCCAATTATCACAGCCTTTGTCCGTCCTGGAACAACAATCCACACCGACATGTGGAAGGGCTACAGCTGTCTACAGTACCTGGCCGACTACGACTACGAGCACAAGACTTTGTGCCACAAGAACGAGTACGTGGCTGCCGATGGGACCCACACCCAAACAATTGAAGGAAGCTGGTCGTTCATGAAGAGGAAGATGCCGGTGTGCAAAAGGAGCGGCAGGCAGCTGCAGGAGTATCTGTGGGAGATAATGTGGAGGAGGTTGTACGCCGGTGGCCTTTGGATGGCTTTCTTGACAGGGTTGAGCAGATACCGCTACACACCGGCAGACATTGAGCGGCTTTGGGATTTGCGAGATGAGGAAGACCCTGAGGGTTGGAATGTGGAGAATCAGAAAGAAGACGACGAAGAGGACAATCTGTACTATGATACGGATGAGGAGGACTACGAGAGTGATGGTGTGGACGGTGCCGCTGCGGCGACGTTGTTGGGTATCCAAAGGGCTATTATCTAGTAATTAACTTTAGGAAAAAAAATTTCGTGGTTTTACTTCAGGCCATTGTCGGCATTCCTGTTGCTTCTCTTGTTGAGGGTACGCATAAGGGGCTACTAGGGCACCCATGTACCATGATTTTCTAGTGGGTGTCAACCGTTTAAGTCGTCAGTATGTACATCTCAGTACAATTTATTTAGAAAACTAAGAACTCTATTTAAGCAAGAGATTATCGGGATTTAGATGAGGGAAAAACGGGAACGACATTTACATAGAGGTGGAAGATTCGTGATTGAGCTTGGCCGGGGACAGTGGCGTTCCTTACTTAGGCGGAAATTTCGTTACCTACTGTTGGTGGATGGTCAACGACAAATCGGTTAGTGCATTCTGTCTATCGCTACCAGAGGGACGTAGAATCTACACAATTTCTCATAAATTGGAAAGTCGAAACTGGTGAATGGGTGTACCTATGTCTGCGCTAAATTCTGTACTGAGCCTACGTCTCTGGAACAATGATGAAACAAATACCGGGAGATGGTGACCATGAAGGGCGGTTTAAATTTTTATACGGGGTTTGCGTCTTAAGTCAGTGAAAGTTTCGTTAATTAAATCTGGATCTTGGATTGGTGTTGAAAAAAGGGTGAGTGCAATAATGGATCTTGTTTTGTCTGTTTGATTGCGCAGGCAAGCTTTGTTCTTTGTTTTTGAATGACTGATCATCTTTGTTCCTCGGATCTCATAGGCCAAATGCTTCCCATGACTGCCACGTCATGGTGGCATGGGTCCTGGGTACCCCGACTTCCTATAATCTCAATAGCTACCGTGCTGTGTTCCAAGCATTACATGCCTTTTATTTTATACCTGGTCTGTACGGGCGGTTTCCCAATAAGCAAGTTGCTTTTGGAAGGTAGCATACAAAGTGGCACCCCCTGCCTGGCTGCCCAGAGGAACAGCATGATAGGTGAATTGAGACAAAAAGACCCAACGATAATCTACCTACTCTAAACCCCCGTACTTTCTTAGATTCCAAAGTCTTCACTCTGATTGAATGATTACTGTAAATCATTCTACATGTACGGTATGTAGCTGCGGTGGCAAAACTTAAGTTGCACTGTAGCTGAAAAGGCCAAGTAAAAACATGGATGGTGGGTGGGGTACCTCGCAGCACGACTGGCGTGACGTGGCAGCCACCAGTCGAATGGCCTATAGAGAACAAAAAGAAGAGGCCAAACGATGTCAGTTGAGCAATTCAAAAAAAACGACCTTGCTCGTCCAGTCAAAGAAACAGGATTCAAATTTGCACGCATCCGATTTTAGAACTGAAAACAAGATTAAAGAATACTTAACTGACATCTCAATTGACTTAAAGGACCGTCCCCCTCAGACCACCATTGTCAACAAAGAACCCACCGCCATGTTTCGCCGCAGTAAGATCATTGTTGGCTACCTCATTGTATCGAATTCAGGAAGGCAAAGGAAAGCAAAGAGTCGGGGCATAGCTTTCGCATATTTGTCTGGCAGTTGCCGAAATTATGATGCATTTCTGTAGAATACTACGAGAGCCTGGTACAAAACAGCGATTTTCAGTTGCCTTTCAATCCTACCGGGATCAGCTTTTGTGCAAACGTACAATTTACCCTCTAAATACCGCAGTAGCCGTTCTTGCCTGGATCAACGAACAAACTGTCAACTGTAGGTAAATACTTAAGCAACGCACCTTTACTTCAATCCCGAATTCTGATTTTCCTAAATACAAGACACACCTCACAGTTGCAAACTGACACCATTTGATGCCCATGCACGCAAGTGATGATTTTTTTAGTACTAAAAAATACACACACGTATCCTAAAATGGGAGAGAAAATGTACTGAATGAGACTATAGTAAATCGAAGTGTTGTCGAACGAAAATAAGAGAAAACATGGACCATGGGGAAACGAAACTGTGGCGAAGGCAACAATGCTGCCAGTAAAATATATTGTCTAAGTCTAAATAATGGCTGTTTTAATCCTAGTGAGCGTTGCAGCTGCTGCCGATCCCTCACCATCGCTATTGTAGAGCTCGTCGTCGGTGTCGTAGTAGAGGGCATCCTCCAAGTCCTCGTCGGTCTTGTCTTGTTCATGGTCAGCATTCCACCCAGCCGGATCGTTCTCATCTCGGAGGTCCCACAGCTTCTCAATGTCAGCCGGTGTGTAACTCCATTTGCTCACTCCAGAAAGGAAAGCCTCCCAGAGATGCTCCGCATTCAGACGACGCCACTGAATCTCCCACAAGTACTCCTGGAGTGAGTGCCCTGACCGTTTTTGCACTGGCATGTAGGCTTTCATGAATGACCAGCTACCCTCGATAGTTTGGGTGTGGGTCCCATCCTCGGAAACGAACTCTTTGCTGTGATTGAGAGTTTTATGGGTGTAGTTGTAGCCATCAAGGTACTGCAGACGTCCATATGCCTTCCACATGTCAGTGTGGATTATGGTACCTGTGAAGAGCAAATTAAGTAGTTAATGCGAAAACTCGAAAGAGAAGAGTATCTGGAATATTAGATAGTTAGTTGTTGTTTGTACCTGGACGTACGAACGCCGTGATTACTGGAAGAAGGGTCTCAGCCTTTCTGTTGGGCACCGCCACCATTGCAAGCCTTCTCTCCTCCGTCCTTTCCACCATTCCAAGTACCCAATCAGCAGAAACTTTCCTTCCTCTGTTGTATTTACGCTTACCGAACTTGCTTTCATCAATTTCGACAATGATTCCTGGACCTCCAAGCAAAACCTTTTCCTTGTCTTCTCGAAGAATCATCTCAGTAACAAGCTGTCGGCAATGCTTGAGCCACTTACCCACCGTGGTAACAGACCAACTCAACATGCTTGCAATTGTCACAGCCGGCACACGCAGGAGGAAGAGATAGAACAAGTGGAGCACTTCATTTTTGGGTAGCTTGCAATTCTGCAGTACACTTCCTCGGAAAGGAGAAATCTGCCACTTCTTACCAGGACTCCACGTCCAGTGGCACTGGTTGCATGCACCACCACAGACCTCCCTGTCCTCATTGCAAACGTAGTTCATACGGCTGTCACAACGTTCGCATGTCTTGGGTGGGGTGAACTCACAAACCACCTTCCGGCATTCGACAGTACTGGTGTACTCCTCTGCACCGGACTTCTTGTTGAGTTTCTTCTTCCAATGGACGGTGCTGCCACACCGCCCACAGCACCCTGGCACCTTGATAATACCACACCACGCCATGTAGTCAAGCGCTGCGGTTTCGTCGTGGAGAACACCACGCAGTTCCTTGTAAGTGGGAAGTTTTCCGTGATCAACAAGTTCCTCTAGAGAACGAACAGGTTTGTGCTTCCCAGCAACAGGAACCTTTCCAGCGGCGGTGTTTCCAGCCGTTCCATGGTCCAGCTGGACATCATTGGGAGTGCTGTCGAGGCTCCCAACAAGCCCAAGCAAAGCGTCGGCAGCAGCACGTCTACCGGTGTTTTCGGTGCTGTTTTTCCCACGCTTTGCCATCCTAAGGTAGAGAAAGAAATGACAGTTTATGCAACGACCACGAATGCAACAAAGCAACAGAACTAAACGACAAGCTAACAATGACATGCAGTTTGTATTTGAATTATTTGAATACAAGCAGAAATACTAGAAGTAAAATTGAAACACCCCATAGTAGGATGGATCTCTTAGAAGAACTGGTTTCAGTTGTGGATGGGCTGCAGAAAACAAAAGCACACTTCGGAACAGGGGCAGTGGCATCACCGGCGAAGCCGGCGCAGTGTTGGTGGCAAGCCGGAAAAGTGAAAGCAACAGAAAACGGAATGGAAGCATCCACAAAACCTTTTTCTGAGAAGCAGAAAGAAAAAGCAAGGATGGATGACTACGATTTTTTAGGTCTGCTTACCCAAGATGTTACCTATCAGTCCGAATACGTTGGACACAACCAAGACTTCCACGCATTTGGCACAACGTTCTTCCAGCATGGCCATGGAAGGATCCCAGTCGACCTGATCCCACCATCTCTGGCACCGCGTCAACCTTTGAAAGAGAGCACGAACACCTTTGCAGGACCAATGAAAGTTAAGAAGATCACAGCAGAACAGATCAACAAAATCTTCTCTCCACTCCCCCAGCGGAAGATTTATAAATCCACGAAGAGGGGCCCAACACCCGTCATTGGAAGGACAACATCAGAGCCGCCAAAGAAGAAAGCAGATGTCATCCCATCTCCAGTCAAGAGACTTAATAACGAGCTAAGCAGTAAGGAAAAAGTTGGCAGAAGCCGTTTCGTATTCGGAAAGAAGAAGTCATTGTTCGAAAATGGAGAAGCTTTCATGTACTGTCGTAACACAATGAGCATGAACAAAGGGACATCCCATAAGTCCGGCAAGTGGCAGGAAGCACAGGAGGCGCATGTAAAGAAGAGCAAAGTGAATGACGTGGGCCTGAAGGAGCTGCTGGACTTAGCGGAGCAGGAAGAGAGAGACGTCGCAAAGAACACCACGGACTCTGAGAAGAAGAGCGAACAGAAAGGAGAGGAAGGAAGTATGAAACAGTGGCTAAAGAAACATGGCGAACTTAAGGAATTCCGTCTTAAGCCCATGCCACCACCAAAGAAGAAAGCCCCTTTGGAGTATCCCAGAGGAACGAAGGGGAAGATCGATAATACAATGAAGCTTCTCAGGCCCATAATCGGAGATCACTACAAGGCTAACCCAAAAATTCTCAAGATCCCAGTGGAAGACATTGTGCAGAAGATTAATCAATGTTACATAGAGCTCTCTGCGGAAGCAAAGGAGATCCCATCCCAATTTAAGCCCAAGAACAAAAAAGCGATTTCAGCAGGTGGTGGCACTACGGAGGAATGAAAAGTCACGAAAAAGTGAGGAGGTTTAACGGTAAGAAATTCGAAATGTTACAGTGGCGGAAATCTAACCAGTAACCAGAAAATATATAATGCGTAGATCCCCTTTAAGTAAAAGTAATCGCGGAATTGATCACTTTAAAATCTGGTGCGACCAAAGTTGTGTGTAATAAAGTTGGACGGCAAAACATGGCAGGCTTGCGGGTTGGTCAGTTGAGTCGTTCTTAAGATAGTCGTTGAGGCCCTACAAGGCCCTCTGCCACGTCACGCTGGTGCTGCTTCGCAGCACCCGGTCGGTGCAAATAATGGTAAACTCGCTCGACTCGCCAAGAGCCAGTCTCTCGCAGTTCTCTAAGTCTAGATTTTGCGGCTTTAAGTCGAGATCCTGCGGTGAGATTGCATGCGTGTTTATCTTGAGCTTGTATACAAAACGAAAGCACTTCAGGCGCTGTATCGATCTAAGGCTGAATTCTGCGTCTCTAAGTCGAGATGTTGCGGTGAGGTTGCATCGTGCTTTTTATCGAACCGGATCTCGATGCCAGTCTTGGATTCATCGTTCAGTCTTGGATACTAGACCTCAAAGATCGCTGTGGTTAGAAGTGCACATGGACCTGCCACCCCCAAAGATACACTGGAAGGTCCCGCAAATAATGAAATAGTTTAATTATAATGAATTCTTGATTAATGTGTTTAATGGTGATGAATGGTGATGAATTCATCACCAGTTTGTTGAATGGTGATGAATGGTGATGAAAATGATTAATTCGTGATGACTGGTGATGAATCGTGATGAAAAATACTACTGTTTTACTATAGAGATAATGAATGGTGATGAATGGTGATGAAAATGATGAAACCGTGATGAAATGTGATGAATGGTGATGAATTCATCACCAATGTGTTGAATGGTGATGAATGGTGATGAAAATATTTAATTAGTGATGAATTCAATTCCAGATTTTCATGTTTCGCAGGACCTTCCTGTTCCATACTTTTTGACACCAGCAAGTGTCGCCGCAACGATGATCCGGTCCTACCTGTCTAGAAAGTACAAGATATCCTTGGAAGAAGCCAGACGATGTGAAAGGGAAGCTCGTCAGTCCTTGGGATTAAAAGGCGACAACAGCGACAACAGCAGCGACAAGGAATTCGCCAAAGTCCAAAAGAAGGCCGAAGAGATTGCGGCTGCCGGTCTGACTACAAAAAAGCAAACACAAAAACAAGCGAAAAAGCAAGAATTGGCGCGAGAAAATACCAGCTTGTCACTGGTTCTGAACGAAAATGGTTCTCTGAGTCATTCTCGCTACACCGTCCCTCATTTGCTGGACTGTGCCGGGGTACCCCATGGTCGGTGGAAGCGCATTCACGCGGCCGTCTCGTCTCAGCTGAGCCCTGCCGTAGTCCAGGCACGGGAAATTAAGGTTCGTGCTTTTGCCACCCTTCAAAACTATCAGCACTATTATCACAACGAGCGAGAGATCATGCGACAAATTTTGGTTTCCGCCAACTTGTCCAATTGTGCTGTGGTCAAGGCCACCAATATTGTTTCCCTGGCCAATTATTTGTTGAATGACAAGGGGATATTGGCAGAGATTGAGTACGAGTCCAGTAGACCATTGCAAGCGGCTCAACAAGAATACTTTCGAGACTACGAGTTTGTCTTGCCGGTTGGGGTTCGACTGACTTTGGTTGGCAAGGATGATGACTTTGAAGAACCAGAACAGGATGTAATCAGAGCCTACTAAGAAACCACGCCAAACCAAAGAACTGGCTAGCAAGTAATGTAGAGCTAGAATGTTACCAGCCCAGACAAGGCCCTCTGTTTTTATGGCTAATCTCGGCGCTGGAAATCGATGCCGGCCTTGTCATTTGTCCAGTGATTGCCGTTGAACTGCACATCGACCGTGATCTTGGAAGAATGCTCGGTATCGTCCAGGAACACCGTCTCGATGTGCTCGTACTGCAAATCCGACAACCCATTCGTCGTCCACGTCTTATCGTGCTCGTCGGCAGCTTCCCACTTGACCGCATTCTTCCAGGCTCGGTTCTGCCGCAGAAAATTCAACTTTTCCTCCAACGACATGCCCTCCAAATCCTGTAGTGCTCCCGCGTCGGGCGCGTCAAACTGGACGCCCACCTTGACCAATCGTCGCTGCATCTCGTCATCTTCACCACCCCACCCCCAAAAGTTGTTGGGGAATCCATTGATGCGCTGAAAGTCCAACGAAGAAAAGGACACGACGCCACCAAAATACTTGGGGTTGTTGCTGTAGCGATCCCACACACGTGCAATGTGGATGGGACGGGTTGGGTATTGGCTGTACCAACGGCCCAAGTCTTGGTCGGGAAGCAAATCCACGTCATGGAAAATAAACACATCGTGCGCCTTGTCCTTGGCGTGCGAGGCAGCTTGGAATCCAATGTTGAGCAGTTTGCCTCGGTTGAATTTGCGACCATCGTCCGACTGTTCCACAATGTAAATGTGGTAGTCCACGATACGACCCTGACTTTCCAGCCCGGACAGGAACTTTAGCATGTGCGGCACAAACTGTTTTAAATGAGCGGCTCGTTGCTGGGAGGAATGCAAATCTCGATACGGGACAATAATGGCCACGGACGTTTTGTTGTCGTCGCAGGGGTCGTATCTGGAGGCAATGCGTCGGCACGCCATTTGCACATAGTCCAACAACCCTTCTCGTGCCACATAGGTCTCGTACAACCGCTTGGCATTTTCCCCGATAATGCGACATTCATCGTCATGCTCGCGGCACCAACGAATCTTCTCCTCGAGGTCGGATAGATCCGCCTTGACGGGGATGTGATCTACACCGGGTTGGAGAAGCGGAAAGTACCAGAGTCGATCGGCGACTTGTCTGGATTCCACCTTCAAAATGACACTCCCCAATCGCATGAGGAAGCCGTACCGACAAGCAGCACAGTGGCCGTCCACATAGACAAGATACTTGTATTTGGACTGTTCGTAGATTGGTGTGAAATGCTCTCGACCGGCAGTAAAAGGGAGCGTGTTGGGTCGGAGGAAGGTCATGGGAGATTCGGCAATCTTCTTGTCACGCAGATTCCAACCGGTGAGGGCAGCATCCAAGTAGGGCTCTTCCCCACCTTTGACGGGATCGTCTTTCCAGCTGTTCGACAAATCCGCCAGCTTGAGACGCTGATTGGTGTCAAGGGTGGTGCCTCCTCCCGATGCGGTACCACGGAAAAAGGCGGTAGCAACACGTCCTTCATCCCAAGAACGCTCGAATTTTCGAAAATTGGCTTCGGTGAAGAGATCACGCGGACTGCCCTGCATTTGCAGCTCTCCACCTCGCTTGTACTTGTGCATGAATGTATGGGGAAAGACTTTGCCAGTGGCTGCCTCCCAATCTTCCGAGCTGGGCCACGGCAGATCGGTGAAGCGATCTTCCGAAGCGGCATAGAAGGATACCACCGGTGCTAGCGAAGCGAAAGTATGCTCGGGGGCCAAGTCGACATCCTGTGCGGGATCACGATCGTCCTTGTCGTAAATGAATCCGTACGGCTCCACGGGCACGCCTTTCTCCATGTTGACTTTACATTGCGGATAATCTCTCTTGTTGAGAAAGAACTCGCAGTCTGGCATTTCCCGCAGTCGACAGGCTTCTGCCAACATGTCTCGTAAGGGAGCCATAAAGTGGTCTCCCCAGTGCTGATCCTTGGCACCATTACGGGGTTTGCTCACTTCATTGCACAAGATGTTCCCATTGGCCCACCATTGACTCTTGTCGGGACAGACATTTTCCGGTCGGTATTTATTTCTCTTTTCGGCATAGTAGGCGTCCAAATCGTCGTTTTCCAGGGTCAGTGCATGAGACCACGTGTTGCGATATTCGGGATTGACAAAAGGACTAAAGATGCGGAGTTTACCGTTGCGTATCATGACAAACATGCCACATCGCATGTGGAAAAAGAGATAACGGAGTGTATTCCATGTACTGGTGGCCGTCGTACGGCGATGAAAGGGAACGTCCAATCGAGCATCCATGGCGGCCGTGACGGCTTGCGTCTTTTCGGGATTTTCGTAGATATTGTTGCTACTGGCTTCTTCGTTGGTTTTTGTGCTTGGTTCCCTTCGAGCCGCCTGTATGGAAGGCAGGAGCATGTCCTTGACGTGACGCCAGTGCGTCAACATGGTAAAAATGTGTTGGAGATGCGGCTCGGCATTGTTGCTGCCCCCATGTGTGGAGACGTAGTCGAGGGACCACCGAGTACATTCGTCGAGAGACTCAAACCGCGGCACGCCATTTGGAAATTTTTTGCACGCCGCCAACCATTCCGGAGAATCTCCGGCATCTCCCAGCATGCCACGAATCTCGGGGGTTTTATAGTTGTACTGTCGTGGTTGCTGTTGTCTGTTCCGGTTATTGTTGTCGTGCTGGTAATTGGAACGACCTCCTCCTCTTCCAGAGTTGTTGTTGTAATATCCACCCCCAGAACCTCTGCCTCCTCCTCGGCCTGTGTTGTAGTTGTCACGATGATGATGATAGCCCCCCTGCTGAGTGGGATCATAGCTTCGACTGTTGCGATTGGCAGGACACTCATGCCAAGGGTGCGCTCCATCATGCTGTCGACAGGGATTATCAAACGAAGGGCGATTGTTATCATCTCTTCCTCGCTGCTGCTGCTGAGATGGCCCATCATATTGATTCGAATAGCCACCACGTGGAGGTGAATTATTGTTCCCATGATATCCATAACCACCACCTCCTCGGTCACCTCCTCGGCCACCCGAATATCTTCCTCCTTGGTGATAGTCTCTGTTGTTGTTGTTTCTATCATCCTGATGTCGGTATCCACCACCTCTACCGCCGGATGAATCATTATTCCAACGACTATTTTCGGCTTGTGCAAATCTGGAATTGGAACCACCTGACGAGGCAGCAGCATCCACGTGATCAGTATGATCCTGTGCATTATTGTAGTTGTTTCGTCTTCCATAGTCTCGCCCTTGATTGTAGCCCCCCTGCTGCTGAGTTGGATCATAATTTGGACTGTGGCGATTCGCGGGGCACTCGTGCCAAGGGTGCGCCCCATCATGCTGGCGGCAAGGATTGTCAAATGAAGGACGATTGTTATCATCTCCGCCTCGCTGCTGCTCCTGAGATGGCCCATCATACCCACCGCGTGGAGGTGAATTATTGTTCCGATATCCACCACCACCGCCACCTCTACCATGGCCTCCTCGTCCACGACCCGAATATCTTCCTCCTGAATTCTGATATCCATCATCTCGTTGGTATCCACCACCCCTTCCTCCGCCTCTGCCTCCCCTACCACCTTGCCGGTCTCCAAATCTTGAATTATTGGAACCCTGCTGCGAGTTTGCGTTATCTCCCGTATTTCGGCGACGGTGCGGCGGAACATAGGAACTCATCTTCTTGATAGTATCTTGTATACTGATCTTGTATACTCAGTAGTTTTCGTATCTTTTGAGAATGACTCAACTCGATTGGATGGCAGGTGGTGACAACAGCTCGAGTGCTAGAAACCTCTGGATCTGGCTCACTGATGACGTGCTGTGCTGTGCTGTGCTGTGCTACCCAAGCTTAAATCAAATTGATGGGGCCAATTAGACTAGCTCAACCAACAGTCTCTTCTCAAACTCAAACTAACTCAAGGGACTTCTCGCAGACCTCTGTGACTCTACTATATCTAGACTAACTGCACAAGACTTGAAGGAATTCGGTTGGTTGAGGTAGCCTAAGGCCATTGGCTATGAATGGGTGGGAGTGGTGGTCGAGCAAGAGCCGCCAAAAAGATTTGAGGTCCAAAGATACACGATCAGAGTTAAGGATAAAACGCGACTTTATTCGACTCCGCAGAGCGTGGAAAACTTCCTCTTCCAAGCTCTCACTATTCACTTCACGTTGAACGTTGACGCTCTCTCTCTCTTCTTCCCTTCACTCTCATACCACAAAACGCAACCTTCACGCTGAAACCAGACAAGAAAGGTTCATCCTCGACGATCGAATTAGGGGACGCTGAATGTAACCCTTTCTTGAACGCATCAGCAAGACTAGCAAGACAAAATCCTCACCACCAAAGTTGCTCGGTCAGAAACGAAACCATCGGACGAAAGAAATGACGAGTTTCAGAGAGGCAAGTACGCTTGGTGATGCGAAGAAACAATTCCAATGTTGGCTGGGGTTGGTCGCTTGTTTCTTCTCTGCTCTTGGAAGTTCGGCTATTCTGGTGCAACAACATCTGGAGAGCAAAGAACAACAGGAGAAATGGCTGGATCATACCGTGGCCATCACCTTTTTCCTCCTTTATTTTCGGGTTTTGATGCATCATGCCACTCTGGGTCTTCTCAAAAAACACAGTGCAACTTACAAGGACCTTCCTAGCCAAGTACAAGATGACAGTGCCTTTTCCATTGTGGACAACCTCACGTTTCTCATGTGGGCTCCATTGGTTGCATACTGGGTCATCCGCGCCATCAAACTTGACACCAATGATTTCATTTATTGTTGCCTTCCTTCCCTTAGAGCATCGATGCCATACTATGTCACTGACAGGATCCTGCACATTTGGGTCAATCCAAGAAGACAGCGACTGATCCACCATTTTGCACTCCTGATTGCTGTCCTCTGCTTTACAGAATGGAACCCCTCTGTTCAGACTCTTGCCATTGGCCTTTATGGCAGTATTTTTGATGTCTACCACAAATGTGTGCTTGCCTGGCAAACGGTTTGCCGTTTCACCCGACATCATGCCAGGAGCAATCCAGAATGGAAGACCGGCAATCTAGAAAGTGATGAACGACAAGGTATTGATAGTCTTCTCATTGGCAAGAGCCCAAGGCTGATGGCCTTCTATGGGAAGCTTTGTGCTCTATATAGCTATGTGTTTGGTATCATTGTGCCTGTTGGTATGCTCATTTTCTACGTTGTGCGGCATTGGAATGATATTCCCCTCATCAACAAGATTGTCCAACCCCTGGTTCCAATCTTCTTCACTGCTGTTGATGTGCCTCTCTACAAAGCATGTTGGAAGACCATGCATCAGTCATATTGGGAACAAGACTTTGGGAAAGATACCAGAGTGCAGAAACAAGAAACGGGTGGCAATCCTAGCGATGGCCAAGTTGAAACAAAGAAGGATGCGACCAAAGAAAGTGGCTGCGTCCCGGAGGATTTGACTCCAACGGTTCCTTGCTTTTTTATGGATTCTTCCCGAGACTGCAGTGTCTGGGGCGATTCTGAGCCCACCAAGGACTTGGGTTGAGGAGGCGCAAGAGTTCATTTGAAGCTTTCTTATGCACTGTTCGCCCTTTGTCCATGTGAACTCAAGTCTGACGTCTTTGGATTGCGGAAACGTTGTTGAATGACTTGAATACCTGTAGCAATCTCTCTGTCGTCATATCGTTACCACTTACTTGGGAGGTTTTATTCATTTTCCCGTCCTAGGCGGTGCATAATATAGTCTTCCTATAGACTGCAGCTCGGGTCTCCGGTCTCTTGTCCCAATGCTGTTGGAGATTTGAATGTTTGAATTCAATCCGTGAGCAATCTTAACCCCAGGGGCATATTTGGTGGCACATTGTAGTACTCAAATTACAGCTCTGCCGCTTGTTGGAATTTTCCAACGCCGGCCCCTCCAATGGTGCAGGTAGCCCCGGTAAAACAATTTTGCTCAACCCCAAATCTACCCCATCTACCCTTACCATATGGACCAGCCACCGAAGCACAAACCTTCCACGGTGACCCTCTCGCTCTTGCCCTATTCAGTGTAAAGAGACGACAGCCAATGGTGGCTCGTTTCCTGTTCTTTTGAAAACGCGCAGATAGCCAGTGTTTTTTTCCGCCCCTACCTTTCCACAAACGGGCGGGTGGGTGGAACGTCGTCGTCGACTCGATCGGGCATCACCCTGCGTTTTGTATGTAGAATCCCGATTTCTTTGCCTGTCGTCGGTCTCCAGTCTTCTAAACCTACCGTATCTAGCTAGGAAGTAAACTAACTTTGGAAAGATGGATTCTTTCTATGAAGAATACTGTAGAGCAATCTACTGTACAGGAGCTGCAGATTCAGGTGGGCAGACAGGAACCATCTTGTTATCCCCAATCCAATATACCAACATTGACCCCTTGCCTTTTACATTGATTCTACCCCGCCGCACGATGCCGAGGTCCCAGTTCTGGTCTTGAAGGACATCAGCTGAAGCCTTGGAGCAAAGTATTTTGTTCTTTTCACTGTTGGACTCCATGCGGGATGCTTCAAAAAGAGATTGACCAGAAGTGAGTGCTGGCAGAACCATTAATCACCAGTGACACCAACAGAACTCACCTGTATTCACTGTGTCTCCAAACAGGCAATACCTAATGAAGCAATACATCAAAATGCGTGAGAGAAGCCATAGTGATATTTGATGAGCAAGCCAACCCAAACCAAGCAATCTAACCTTGGGTTCCTGGATCCCACCACATCTGCCACCACAGGGCCAGTGTGGAATCCACACCGAATGTCAAGATTCCCCTTCCCGGGATCATCTGGATCAATCAGTGTCTCATTGGCGGCCTTTACAGCATCAACAGCAAATTGAGCAATTCTTTTGACATGGTCGTCTTGCTGATCCTTGACCAGGTTTGTCACGGCCACTTTTAGAGATAAGAAAACCAGAACACATGAGAGGGGGAGCTCCACATCACCTTGCTAGTTCACTAACAAACTCACTGTAGGCATCTCCAACCGTTTCAACCTTGAACACTTCATGGCTGTCAGAGAGGGCGTCAAACTTGCTATACAGACGGTCCAACATCCCTGCCACCTTGCGGGAATCTAAGTCGGAACAGATTTGCTATAAGGAGAAAGCAAGAGGGGTGTCAGCATCAAGCTGCAGAGGGGACTAACTGGCAAGAAGGTGCAATCATTCCAAAACCTACGGTATAGTTCACAATGTCACTGAAGAAGATGGTGACTTGGTCTTTGTGTTCAGGTTCCACCTTCTTTCCATCTCGCAGTGCTTCTGCCACATGGCGAGGAAAAATGTCAAAGAGGGAGACTGTTGTTGACTTGTTTTCAGCCCGGGCTTCCACACGCTTGAGGCGAAGGTCTACCTCTTCAAAAGATGGCCGTTCCTCTGGGTTGGCTCTGAGGCAATCAGCCATGAGAGTTGCCACTGCCGCAGGACAATCTTTGGGTGTGGGAGGGCGTTTGTTGATCTTGGGGTCTGCAATTTGAGTCAACACCCTTAGAGGGTCTTCCTCGCCATCGTATGGGTCTTTCCTTGAATAGCACTCCCACAGAATCATCCCAAAACTGTAGACATCAGTCAACGGAGAATTCAAGCTTTCACCCCGCAACAACTCCTTCAGTATGGATTTTAAAGCATAGGAACAATGTGAGCTAAGCTGAGCAACTCACATTACAATCACAATCCAAGCAAGAGATGCCTGGGCACGACCCTTACCGGTGCCATCCAAAACTACAAAGCAAAAGGGACCAACCAAGCAAAAGTGTCAGTGTCGGGCGACAAAGTTGTCATGAGTCCAGTTTTCAAAAACTCACTGGTGTTCCTGTTGCCCCTGTTCTCTTCCGAATTGTTGACATGCCAAAATCAGCAACTGATCACAAAAGTGTTGCACTGTTGAGATTGCCGCCATTGCATCTTTGTAGCACAGCAAGGGTACCAGAGGGATCTACCTACCTTTTGCCCTCAGCTTGTCATCCACCAATATATTGCCACTCTTCAAATCACCATGGATGACTGCATCTGGCTCCACAGCATGAAGATAGCGACAACCCGAAGAGACATCCCTCAAAATGGGCAGAAGGACCTCATCATCCATGGCCATGGTTTCGTTGTGGAGCATGGAATAGAGAGACCCATGCTGCATATATTCCATGACCAGCATTGGTTCTTCATTCGGTTCCACCACAGCACCCAGGATTGTAATAATGGTGGGATGACGAAGTCCATTGAGCTGTTTCATCTCATCCACAAAATCTTGTCCGAGTTGTTTTTGGACAGTAGCAGAGAGGGGTTTCCTATCGTTGTTATTGTCTTCATCATCCTCCTCCACACTCATCATGGCAGATTGCCTCAAGAGAGATTGCAACGAGGTGGCAGATTTCATTCCAATGTTGTACTTCTTCCTACTAGGTTGAGTGGTGGTGGTCTCTTCTCCGTTGGTTGCTCCGCCCGGTCTTTGGTCAGGGAGGATGTCGTCTTCAAACGTTTCTTCCGGATGGTCATTGCTGTTGCGCTGGGGTTGGTTTCTTGTCGTCGTCAAGTTGGTCATGTTGGTTTCATTACTGGTCAGGGAGACGCGCCCAAGATTTTTGTTGTTGGAAGGTTGTTTCGACGACAGTGTCACTTTTTTGACGGCCACTTGGGTTCCCCGGTACTCGGCCAGCACTACCACCCCAAACGTTCCTTTGCCAATGACATGAGGTGGATTGTCAAAGCGCAGATCTTTCTTTTGAATCTTCCAAATGGAGTTAGAATTGTCGTCCGAAACTGCCACTTTTTGATGGTACACATACGTCGCTACTGCCACAACCACCAGTACCACAAGGGGAAAGGAAATGGCCAGCGCCAGGTAGTTTTCAGTGGGTGGTGGTGGCAAGACACATTCGGCAGTAGGACCCATCCCTTGACTGATGGCATCGTAAAACTGACAATCACATGTCCCGTCCGTGGCACAAGTTCCATTCGTCATGGCACAGTCACTGATTCGTTCGCAATCGCGATAGGCAAAGGAGGGCATGGGGTAGACAATGTCAAAGTCAGTCGACCGTAGCGACGTTGGTTCGAGGACATGAATCGTCCGGTTGGAATCGTACTGCAAGAGTAGATTGGGAACGGCCGACTGACCATTGACATCAAAGCTGACATTGCCATAGACCGTAGGAAAATATCCGGTGGCAATTTCATTGCGAATGGCCATCTTGCTGGCATTGGTACGGAAGTCACCCACCCGTTCAATGGCCTGCACCAGGACACTGATCGCCGCGGATTGCGAGGCATGCTGATATGCCGGTCGTCGAAAGGCTGCTTTCTCAAATGCCGCATCAAAGTCAAAGGGGGTCCACCCGGTGGCACCATCCGGGACGGGTGGGAGCGCACGATCCCACGAGGAAACACCCATCACATAGGCCACATCGGTCCCCAGAGCCTCTTCAAACTCCGACGTTCCAGCCACAATGGTATAGATCTGTGCCTTGGGCGACCAGTCCATTTCTCGTAGTGCCCTATTCCAGGAAGCAAATTCAGTCCGAATACAGACAATCACGACATCCGGATCCAGCGCCGCAAAGGATTCTGCCACTTGCAAGTACGTCTCGTAGGGAGCATATTCCGGCAAGATGGTTCCATTGAGAAAGGTCATGTTGAAGAGTTCCGCCATTTCGGGCGTATCCAAACAGGAATTGACATCTTCTTCGGTAAGAAAGGCCACCGACGTGGCGCCTTGTGGTGCGAGTCCGGCAAATGCATTGTAAAGAAACGAGCCACTGGTCGGCAACAGACCAAAGACATGGTCTCGTGCCGCATGAACCGATGTCCGTGACGATCCGGCAGTCAGTAACAGACGCTGATGGGCTTGTGCAATGGGTGCAATGTGCGCCGTGAGAGTGGACGAGTATCCCGCGAGCATGAAATCTGTTTGATGGACAATGGTGTTTCCAATAATGGCCGTCATGTTGGTCGAAGAGTTGTCCCCGTATGTTTGCAGTAGTAGCGAATAGTTGGCACCGCCATCATTATCAAGATGAACGCCACAGCGCGGCCACAAATTAATGGCATCGATCGAAATGTGAGCCGACTCCAACATTTGACTGCCCAGCACGTAGTAGCGGTCGTCTTTGCCCACCGACATGGGATGCGTGAGCGTGATTGTGCCAGAATAGTTACACACTTCTTCTTCTTCTTGGTAGTGAAAGAACGCCGCGGGGACCACACTCCGTTCAATCGAAACGGTGGCAGCACCCGTAGGCGGCAATAGCAGCACAAAGAGCGAGAGTATTATCCAGCGCATGGCCGCGGGAAGGCTCCTTGGAGGACGACGATGATGAGGCTTGGAGGGTATCATGATGACCTTGGCTAGACTACTAGTAGTCGAAACGAAAGGGAAGGAAGAGTGAAGACTGAACTACCGGTATTAATAGTCGGGGAGATGTGGAGGTACGGCACAGTAAATTAATGAGCTCGGCTCTGCTCCTGCTCTGTCGCTGCTCCAATCTCAATGGTTACTAGCTAGTCTACTAGTAGTTGAAAGGACCTGCAAACTGCTCAACTATTGAGAACGATAAGAATCAAGTAAGGAAGAAAGTGTTCCGCGAACAACGAATCCCAAGTGTTTCTTCCGTCGGTTGCAAAGAACTACTTGGCTCTGCAATTTGGACTGTCTACATACATGTACATGTACGGTACTAGTAGGGGCTGTTTGGGGACTGTGGTTCATGCGTTCATGCTAATAAGAGATGGGAGGCAGATCATGGCGCATCTTACTCTGTCTCTGATCGATAGCACTCTACGCAGATACAGTACACTCTTTTAACTCTTAGCGTCTTAGAGTTCTCGAGTAAAGATTGTGTGTGACTGTCTCTTTCTCCTCGGAAACCAAATGTTAAATCCACTTTTCAGCCCTCTTTAAACCTTTATCATTCAGACTTTCTTCTTAAAATCTGAGGGAACAAAAACGACTTATTGTACGGATGACAGCCTTCTCTCAACAAGAAACACACACTTACCTTTTTTACAAAAATTAATAGTACAATGACTGGCATTTTCAATACATGTAGCCCAGAGCCCAGAGCTTTCCCAGGGAGTCGAGTCACAGTGACCTTCGCATCGTACTATTTATTTTTAATACATACTGTAAGGACCGGTGGCATAGGTAGGATTTTACGTACCATATTCCAAGCCCCCCCACAGTTGCCAAATCCTCATGGGAGGGGTACCCCTCCTATGGTGTGCAAGCAGTATGAAGCCTTTGGCAAAGGGGCCCTCCCCTAAATCTTGCAGAGCCTAGAAAATCCAGTGTGTCTTTACCTTGGAATTGAATCTAGACTATGCTCAGGATTATCTTGCATCATCTGTTACCAGTAGAAACCAATACTGTTTGGTGCACGAATCTGGGTGCTTGCAGTCAAGTCAAGTACATGTATGATGCTTGTGATCAGCTTTATACTTTGCCTCTAGAGGCAGGAAATTTCTCTGAAGAGGAGTGATGCAACCTACTAGCAAATTAAAAAATGGATGATGTCCAAGGGCTTTAGAGCTTCTGCAGGCTGTGGATGGGTAAGGTTATACAGTGGATGTTTGACCCAAGCCTTCAAGATACTAGTATTAATTAAAGATACTCATGACCTTTCCGGTACACGGTCTATGTATAAAGGCTAATCCTCCCCTTTCTGGTACCGGTACCAGTACATAGTCTACGGGGTCCATGTTTTGCAAGCAGCAAAGTCAAAGGGGCCAAAGGGGGGTACCTACACTAAGTGTACCCCTAATCCTCCAGAGGAGATGCCACCAGCCCTACTCCGACATGTACTTGTAAGCTACATGTACATGTACATGTACATGTACATCATTGTACATGTACATGTTGTATGTACACGTACAGTTATGTATCGCAGCAAGGCTCCAATCTTCAATTCAATGAGGTCTTTACGTCTTTCTTAAATAAGCTAAGAATGACTCGACTTAGTCATTCATGCATTCCTTGAAGATCCGAGGATGTTCTCTTGAACGAGAAGCGAGAAAAGTTCAAGAGTTCAAGAAGGCATTCCTGAGTGGAGCCGGAAGACAGTTTAGAAAGGTAGCTGAGGTAAACTTAGGGTTGAAGGTAAATATTACTTTTCATTTTTGTATTTACCGCAACTACAACTCGTAGTCTACCAGGTCCTGATTTCCAAAGTTGTCTTCCTGTGGTCGCCGCGGTACACGTAATAACATTGCAACCTCACCTGTACCGTACTAGCTAGTAGTTTGGAACCTCAACGCTGCCCGTCGAAAAAAGCGCAGAGGAATTGCGCAACTTTCTTAGTTAGCAGCAGGGAGGAAGTTGTTTACGTTGCTACCTGAAGGAGCCAACAGGTTGTCAGAGATCATAGTTTGTTTACACCCACTCCCCATGCTCCCGGTAGCTTGGTTTGAACAAGTAAAGTACTGTAGAAGTTCTAGTTTTATCTCCATGTACTATGTACAAGAATTGTTTCCGTACGTGTTCTGATAGTAATCCAGACACATTTCGTATCAAATGCTACCCCAGAACCCAGATCTCGCAACATTATCCATCATCAAGCAGTTACACATTGACGTCATCTAAAGACTCAATGTCAATCCCACCAGTGCTATTCGGCAAGGAGATGCCAGTGGAGAGGCAAGGTTGCTTGCAGCAAGTTGTGGACGTGCCGTTCAACTCCTGGATCGAGTTAGGGTCTTCTTTGGCAAGAACATCTTTAGATCGTCCAAATGATTGCTTCCAGTACCATAGCTGGCCAGTGTTCCAGGAGGCTTTGTGCAGGGGTAGATCAATGAGATTGAAGATGACTGGCACAACAGGCTGAATGATCTTGTAGCCTAAGGATACTTCCTGCCAATTAAGGGCAAGAAAAGCCACCAACAAACCTGGGGGGATAACGAGAGTAAACAAGTATGCATAGCAGGCTGCAATCTTTCCAAAGAATGCCATCTGTCCTGGACTTGCAGCAACCAAAAAGCAGTCAATGCCACTTCTGCCATCACCACCGCTGGACCATTCGGGATGGTTCCGTGCATGCATTCTGGTGTACCGACACACCATGTGCCAGCCATTCACTGGTTTGAGATATGTGTCGAGTATCCCTCCATACACTAGCACACATAGACTCCCCGTGGAAGGGTTCCATTCCAAAACCAAGAGTAACGCACAGATCTCTACAAAGTGATGAATGGCACGCTGGGGAAGTGGATTCACCCAAATATGCAGGGCTCGGTCCATCATATAGTACGGAAAGAACGCCTTGATCACAGGAATTGCAGTGGCAAAGTATTCCTCGCTGTCGAGTGTAAACGCCTTCATCACAACGGCATATGCCAAAGTGGGCCCAAAAAAGAGGACAGAAATGCTGTCAACGATGGCAAAGGCGCTGTCATCTTGTACTTGCTTTGGAAGTGTTTTGAATGTCTTGCTCCACTTGTGAAGGCATGAAAGGGTGGTGTGATGCATAAACACTCTGATGAAGAGGAGAAAGAAGCAGATGGTATTGGTGTAGTCAAGCCACTTGAGTGTTTGCTTTGAGTTAACCAAGTACTCATGCAGAAGCAACGCGGCTACCGCGATGCCAGTCCAAATGATGGCAAGAAGGACTAGCCAAGCTCGGAAGAGGAACTGCTCATTCTCTGCGCATGAAGATGTCATGATCGATTTAGGGTTGATAGATTCGATTCGATTCGTTTGGGTTGTTTGCAATCTCTCTGGTTGGTTTATGTCTTCGAGCACTACCGACATGGTGGGTGCGGACAAAAGGAGGAAGTACTAATATACGGGGAAAGTGTGATTGAGTTGTGTGTGTGTGTGCAGCATTGCTTGCTCTTTGGTGGGAGTGCCTTGGTTAATTAATGAATATGCCAGCAGTTAATTGAAAAAGGTGCTTTGAGGAGAAGGCATCATTCAAGGATTTATTGGGGTGACCACAGGCGTAAAACTTCATCGAACGAAATGCTTGTTTCAATCTTTGCTTTTTGGCAAGTGCTCAGCCGCAACAACTTTGCTTGCATCGATAGCTCTTGCTTGCCAGATTCCTTCCTTCCTCCAAGCCAAGGCTGTTCTGCTCCGAGAGCTGCTCCGAGTGTCTAATGGTTGTCATCACAGGTAAGACTGGCGCTTTTCAAGTTCATCGAAGGATCGCTTCGTCAGCGGTATACCCTAGCTAGCTACCACGCAAGTACGAGTGACAGTCGTAGTGTTTGTCACCAGCACCTGTATCATTTTGCCCTTGATCTCTTCCACTACCGTCACGACTGTAGTCTTCTGACTCTTTTGATCCTCCCTGCCCCCCTACCTTGCACCTCCTTCCTCTTTGGTTTTGTTGCTCTTCTGCTCACTCGATAGCTTGTTCGGCTTCTGTTCGTGCATCCTGCCCTCCTCCTCTTTAACCCATCCTCCCCTAGCTAGTAACGACTCTCAGTATCATATTATTTGATTCTACTCACTGGTACCGAATGGCTGAGGCACCAGATGAACAACTGATCATTACTTCCCGGGGCATTGTCTTTTTTGAATTTTGCAATGCCTTGCGGCGCCATCAAACTCGTTTCCACGAACAGAGAATGGCGATTGTCCGCTTGCACAAGTAAGCGCTTTCACGTGCCATACCCAATCGCAGCCACCAAGCAACATCTTTTCATCTCTTTATGATGCAGGTAAGGTACTGTGCCACACATGGCGTTGGGAAATGATTCACCGAATGGCTGCGCGCAAGCAACTACTAGCACGATGTATACCACAGCCGAGGGTACGTAGCCTGAAATATCTAAGCCTACCTTTTGCAGCTCTCTGTGCTTTGGCCTTTGATACAAAATGTTTCAGAGGCACTCTCTGTACACCTTCAACGTGCAAAACCATGTCTTCCTTTGATGAGTTAGTTAGTTACCAGCAGTAACATGGCTGGAACGAACAGCTAGCTAGAGATTCGGGCTAAATACTCATGCAAAGGTACCCAAGAGAGTTGCTCGAGCTACAGTATAGTATACTCATGCCCGAGAGCTATAATCAATCAATCATGCATGCTTAATCAAGACATTATCCAACGAGAGTTTCTTTCTGGGCGCCGATGGTACACTGACAGGTTTTCCAAACCAAATGGTCCCCACTACTCGTTCATTCTCTGGCAGTCCAACCGCCTCGGCAAAGCGAGGATCAAAGTTGACCGGTCCCGTGGTCCATTTCGTGCCCATTCCATTGGCATGCAAACTGAGACAGAGATTCTGCACGGCACAACAGCAGGCGGCATAATCCTCCCGTGCCATGCTCATGGGATTGTCGCAGCTATCATCATCATCACTCTGTTGTACAACAACAACTTGCGTCACCACCAACCACCCCGGCATGGCCAACCATCGTTCCAACTTTTTGGCCCCGGCTGCCGGCCCCTTGCTAGAAGATACGAGTTCGGCATTGAGTTCGCAGACTCTTTGAATGGCCTCATTTCCCAGCAAATGAAATCGCCAGGGCTCTGTCAGTTTGTGATTGGGAGCATATGTGGCAGCTTCCACGGCTGCCGTCAGTTTCATTTCCCAGTACGGTGGAAGCTCGGCTTCGAAACTGTTAATGGTGCGACGTGACAAGAGCAACTCATGAAATGATGCTGGCGACGGCGACGAAAAGGCGTCTACTTGATGTTGTTGTCTGCTGCATGGAAATAATAGACCCAACAGGAGCAACAAAGAGACAGATGGGGCAGCGCCAACAAAGCCAAGCATCATGGTGTGAAAATGACAGAAGAGACAAGAGACGAAGATGAGGGAAAGATGGCAGATGTTGTGGGGCCGAAAGTTGGCGACTGACGTCACAATGTCACAAGAAATCAGCCAAGTTGCTGCTTTTCGCCCTCGATCTTTCGATCTTTGGAACCAAGATACTGTAGCCCGACTCAATGTCAACACGTCAACAGCCAGGGGAGAGGAGGAGGATTACAACCATAAAATATATAAGGGGGTTTAGAGTAGGGAAATTATCTACGGAAGCCAGCCGGGGCCAGCCTTAAGGATGTCCCACGGGGTGTTATCTTAAAAGCGTGAAACATGCAACGTTTACTAGCATTATCACGATAAGAAAAGTGAGAGAACCCTATTGAGAGGGTACCTTAGAGCAATTCGTTCTCGTCCAATACCCCAATGCCCGTATAGGTTGTGATATACCATCTTATAGAGTAGACAATGCTCTATCTGTATGACCTGAAAGAAACATAAAATTGTTGTTGTGTGTTCACCCACTGTAACTGTCGTCGTGCTCATCGAAAACTGCCCATTCCAATGAGTATCCCCGTTGCGGGATGGACTTTGCTCGATAGACAGCCAATATTTTATGTTTCTTTCTTAAGCATGAGATGCACCGTACTCAACAATGTATAGTGAACTTGGTTCATGTCATTGGAGAGTGGCATGCCGCTTCTGTTCTCCATTGGTCGGAGGGTCAAGGTAGTTTGTTGTTGTGTTGAATCAGTGAGCAGCCAAAACTGTTATCTCCCATCGCAGAAAGATATACGAAATCAGCGTGGGGTATGCAACGTCGACAAGGAATCACGCTTAACTGAAAAAACAAAGAACAAAAAAGATCAGCTTCATTGTGACAACTGTTTTGCGCCATTTCGCAGTTGTGTACTTACAAGCTTTCAACCATGAACCGCGCTATCAGAGTTGATTACTATGATGAAGGCATGCCTTATTTTGCTACTGATGCTTGCTTGATGAGTATTGTTGCTCTTCCCAAGGTTCCTGCCCATGGGTGGTGGCTTTCGCGACGGAGGACAGTGCAGCCTGACGCAAAGTATTGGGTGAAAGGAGAAGGGTTAAAGTATTCGGGTGAAAGGAGAAGGTTGAAGTCACCGGCCATCGAAGAGACTGAATCTGCCCCTGCTTTTACTGTGGTTGAGCAAAGAAAGTGTCTCGTGAGTACAAGACCCAACTGACATGTCCAGCACTGTGTTGTCTTACACATCTTGTGTTGATGGATGGAAGTGGTACCATGTTCAAGGCCACTGTTAACAGTGGCCTGTCCCACTATTTCGCTGCATACAATCCTCTACTGTTGGATCGACTGTCTTCGTAGATGACTATGCCATCATCACGCAGACATCCAACCGAGCTACACGTACAAGATGTACATGCTCATCAAGGACTTCCGATGGAAGCTTCCCACCCAACAAGAAGGTCATTGATCTTCTTCCCATCATCATGCGTGACTTTGTTCCAGCCACAGGGCATATCTACCGCGCACCGGTAGTTGAGAAGATGATTGACGCAAAGGCAATTCGGGCAGTGTCGAGGTTGGGAGCAGTGGTTCCACTTGAAGACGAAGAGTACTTCGATTGATGCATATGAGTCGATCCAACTGTCTCATGAAGGCGCCTGACAAAGGGCCTTACTTCCACGGAAACTGGATCCAGCATGAACTCAGCCGTCAGCATTGGAGGGAGCAATGAGACTTTGACCTTATGAAGTCTCGTGGATGCGCATGCGGGAGAATCTCTGAATACGTTCGATCTGTAGATGAAGAGGAAAACAAGCGTGAAGTTACTTCATTGTGACACAGCAGCGATTGGAGAAGAGGGACATCAAACAGTTGCCAGTGCTGTTCTGAGTATGGATTCATCCAGTGCATTCTTCTTACCTTGCCTCTTGAGGATGTGGACGTGAACGACTGGTATCTCTCTTTTTCCAGCAGGTTGAACGGAGAGCTGGATGGTTACTCATTCGATGACTTGGCTCCCAACCACAAGCGCTGGGGCTTCTACTGGTACTACGCCGTCAATGGGTACAAGTTCATCAATTGCCGCAAGCAGTTGCCAACCTGTTTCGTAAAGGCCGTTCGGTCATTGTATCCGAATCCGAGGGGAGTTAGGTACAGCACTTTCATGCCTACTGATCCGAAGAAAGTTTTGGAGGAAAAAAGTATTATGAGCGCTGGTGCCAAGGCTACCGAAGGTGGTGTCAAGCGAAAGTCCCTTGATCTTTGGGAAGACTAGAGAGCAACCGAACACCGTGGGTTCTCTCATAGCCTATCAACGCTCCAATCAGCGACGTCTCGGAACCATTCAGAGAGTTCCCGGAACGATGGAACAGTGGAGGAAACTTCAACGCAACCACTATTTCCAGTCATGTTGTCTTGTGTATTTGTCGACAAAGAATACCGGTTTTCGCAGCCAATGAAGTGTAGCTATTGATAACACTAGACTTTCTATACTATTTTAGTACACCGTCGTACCCAATAGCTACGTACATTTGACAAGTCAAACCGTTCCGCGATTTTTCCAACTCAGAATCGACGATTATCGCAAAAGAACATAAGAGAACTACGGCCCTACTACGCTACTACATGTATGTGTTTGGCGATGTTCAACTGTCATTTGCTAGCGATTCCGACAGCTCCGCGATTCGTGGATCGCTTGTGAGGGGAATGTTATCTATGAGCGAAATTTCATTCGTAGCGCCATCCTCGTTATCCTCGTCTTCATTCCTAGGAACAACATTGTAATGTTCTTCTTCGCCGACGGATGTTTCATTGGGGGGATCCACCCTACTCCTCTTACGTCGGTTCCTCCCATTATTTGGACACAATCCACTCCTCGCATCTTTATGTCCTCTCCGATTACATTTCGAACAAACTACCTCCGACAATGGCCCCCTACCGTTCGTTTCTTCACTTTCCATCGCGGAGCCAGTCTGGTAAGCCATGCCGTTCGCTCGATCAATCCGCAGTTGTTTCATGTAACCCTGTATCTTGTCATGCATTGTCTTTTTGCGTTTGACACGGAACTCCTTTTCCTTGATGTCTCTAACTTACTTTTTCTTTGTCGGTCCCTTTAGGAGAAAGTCGGTACTTGCTGTCAACAGTCCCACATCAACCCAACATGGAAGAACAAATCATGCCACAGAGCCCTGTTACCAACAAGATGGATGGCAATTGCAATACGGACTCGCATCACCCACGAAACGCTACCGCAGTACGACTTTGCTTTGGGAGCCAGCCATGCGATCTGTTGA